TGGAGTACTCAAGACATGGGACAGTGATCAAAGGACAGGAGCGGGCTGTCGCCTGCTCCAAGTATGAGGAGGATGTAAAGATCAACAATCACACGGTAAGTGTGCACCTAGAACCTTTTTATCACTCGAGAGCATTTTGCTATAAATTCCATTTTTTCTTTTATTTTGTTAACTAGTCTATACTGTGGCTTTTTCCAAGAATTTTAGCTCTTCATTACGGGTTTGTGGTTTTTTCTTTTTAATTAGGAAAGATGGATAAGAGTATTAAAATGTTGACCTATGTCTCTACCACATAGATTCAGAATTTCCTTAACGTTTTGTTATATATACTTTGTGTTTGTATGCACCGTGTTTAGATGCCTTTGGGTGTATATGCATACATATCTTCTTTCTGTCACGTTTTTTTATACTTACAAGAAATTTATTTGCTAGAGCATTAGAAATTGTAGGTACAATGCTATTCACCTGTAAATACCCTACTATTATGTCTAGAAAATATTCTCTATTACATAACCACAGTAACACCATTGCTCATTGCTCTTCAGAAAATAAAATTTAATACCATCTTTAATACCACATAATCACATTTTCAATAATAAAGGTAAAACAACTTCTTATTCCTAGCTGTTAATTGTTCAAGTAAGCGTCCAGTCAGAACTTTGTTGTAATTATCCTTTGGAGGTTTCTGTCTGTTTTCGAAAATGCTTCTCCCTTTCTTGTTGAAATTGATGATTGAGGAGATCAGGCAGTGACATTGAGAGTTGTTTTCACATTCCATATTTGACTGTTTCCTCTGGTATCACATTACTTGTTTTTGTATTTTTTTATAAATAGGAATTTAGGTCTGAAACCTTGTAAGTCAGACTTTTTTTTTTTTACAATAATAGCTTTATAGTTATTTCAGAATATTCCACATTGCATCATATCAGAAAGCATATAATATTTACTTATTCTATTCTTAAAATACCTGAACTGTAATTGTTTCTATAAATTAGAAATTAACCTACCTTTCAGAGCTTTCCCTGTAATATGCATGAGTAAAGTGAGCCAATGTACAAGCAAATTGTACAAACTGGAGAGCATCGATCAAATAGGGCCAACAACTATTGAGTAACAACCAATTCCATGTAGAAGTGTAAGCTCAGGATTTCCCACGCCTCCTAAATCTTTCAGGAAAAGCCAATTCCTGTGTGTAAATGGAAATATTTTGGGGAAATAGACTGTTAGGCTATTGGAACCATGACACTTGCTTCTCATACTTGAGACCTATAACCACTTACCTAGTTAGTGTTGTTATCACTATCATCTTCCTATGAAATTATCTTTTTTAAAAGGGCTTTGATATTTTATATTCCTACTCACATTATATGAGTACCCATTTTCAGGTTCCTTATAAGCTCCTCTCTCTTTACAGCATATCTGGGGATCTTACTGGAAAGAAGGCCGATGGGGATACAAATGTTGTCATTCTTTTGTGAAGTATTCTTATTGTACTGGAGAAGCTGGGAAGGAGATTGCCGTAAGTACTTACCACTTAGTGCTTGCAGTACCCTTAAATTCAGATTTTAACTTTGATGATTGATAAATGTGACACAGGTAAAATGAAACATTTTCTCACATATTGCACAGAATTCAGAGGAATGTATACCAGGCGATGCAGCTGGAGAAGAGTCCATGAAGAAACCTCAAACTCTCATGGAGGTGAACTTAAAATCATTTGTCCTGGAGGGAAGATTTTAAAATTTGCACTAGAGGTTTGTTTTCACATTAATCACACTCTATTTTAATTCTGTCTCTCAGATGCATCAAGAAAAACTGAAAGAGGAGAAAAAGAAGAAAAAGAAGAAGAAGCATCGAAAGAGCAATTCAGATAGTGATAGTGAAGAAAAACATGAAAAACTGAAAAAGG